GAAGCAAGAGATTTTGTTTTAGATCAGTGAATGGTTCAACTTCGCTTTCTTCATAGTCGTGTAGATGTTGAAATATCAAAATTTCGTCTTTGGCTTTAATTTTCTGTTCGTTATATGCAACAGTTGTAAAAGACACACACATTACATAGCACTGACTGAGGGCGTCACAAACAGACACACACATCACATTGCACTAGGTGAGGATGTCACGGAAAGACTGACACATATGAAAAGACAGACACATCACCTATCTATCTATTTATCTACCTGCCTACCTACCTATCTAGCTATTCATTCACCTGACTGCCTATTCAGGACGAACTGAACAAGTAGTGCAACCACCACCCTTAGTATTGGTATTAGCTGCGTTACTTCATCACTCCAGATATTAAGGCCAAAATCTCAGTGATAATATTACTGGGATTTGTCATGAACTCATTAAGGAAGAGGAAGAAGTAAACTTCATAGGGCAGGGTAGGGGTAGGGACTCGGCAGGGTAGGGCAATGGTAGAAGCTCTGCAGGATAGGGTAAGAGTAAGGGTAGGAAAATGTTTCTCAGACAGGATACAGAGTACGAAAAAAGCCTATCCTGCACATCTCTAGTAAGGATACGAGGACGAATAGTAATATCAACCTTCGACACTTACTAGAAGTCGAATGCTTTTTAAAGAACTATCTGGCTCTTCTCGTTTGAATTAGCTTTCGGCGTTATCAGTATACTCAAAGTTTGTGTCAGATTTATGTTTAGTTTATTGTTGTCACTTGATCTTTCTTATGAAAAGGATTTGTAAATTTAAAAGAAAGAAAGATTAAATTGAATAGGATATATTAGTTAACTTTGATTAATATTCTTTGAGTGAATGTTTAATGCGACGAGGATTTATTTTTCAATTATCCGTTAGATTTTGTGTTTATAATAGGAAGAAAAACAAGATACATAATTCCATTCTATTTCTTTCTTCGGGCTGCAACTGATATATTCTTTTCTATTATATTAATGACACAGATTATAATGTTTAAGAATGAACCAATCTCAGTTTCCTGTTTTCTTCAGTCTGAATAACGTCAGTTGTTTAATAGAAAAGTTAGTACATTATTAAATTTCAATCAACTGAAAGCTCATTCAGTTTTTCTTTCTAATCTAGAAGACGATGCATTTCGAGTAACACTGTGTCTGCATCTCAGTTTCTTTTATCCTTTAGATAAATTCGCCTAAAGTAGACTGACCATATACGTCATTGAGATGATAAAGTTCTCATGTTCATCCGAAAAAGTCTGTAAGTCAGGGTGGCACTGTATCTTTACTTTACCAGGTAAAGATACAAACCAGACCAAAGTAAAGATACAGCTCCTTTACTGTAAGATTAGCTCCTTTACTTCAAAAATAAAGTACAATGACTTTACTTTACCAGATAAAGTAAAGTACAGCTATTTTACCCGAAAAGTAAAGTAAAACACTATGGTTAAGTTTGTTGTTGATTTATTGATTCATCATGATACTTTGATAACGTCCCAACATGTGAAAGTTTATTTAGCATCATTTCTCTATTAATTAAGTGGAAAAAGAATAAAACAAAGTGAAATTGAAAAAATAATATTTTCCATTTATCAACACTTCAAAGTTTCACTGCCGCCAGTCAAGGTGCCAGTTAAGGACGAAGAGGTCCAAAAAGTTAAAATGACGCCCATCTGGTTGCGTGACCTGTGTATAGTCAAGAATATGGTGACGATCGTGGCGTGGCAACACAGTCATGCTGCCTGTCTTGACGGCATATGTGCCTCTAATTATATCGTAACAGCAGCTGCGTCGTCCGTTAGTACGGCTGGACGTCGCGCCAAGCTTTACGTCCAGACTAGTCTGTTTTATTGAAAAAGCTTTCGGAAAAACGTGCGAAATATCGTCTGGATCACGTTACAGACGTGCGTCTTGAATGTAATACCTGTATACCAATCTTGCCACTGTCAACTGATACTACGTCCTCACTGTATATCAGATGTTCTTCTTTTGTACTCAAAGGACTGTATCGTCCATGAGTACGAGAAGACGCTACGTCTGATACAGGATTTGAACCAGTCACTTAATTCAAAAAATCTGTAAGGGAAGGAAGTGTAAGATTGTTATGTAAAACATGATCGACCCTCCTACAAAAAGATCGCAGTACAGTACTGAAAAACGGCCGGCACTACCAGTGCGCAGGGGATACTATGTTGCACCGGTAGGCACTAGTTCCACATTTTTTCAGTCACTGTTTTGTTGTCTACGATTGATTCCACTATGTTTTACTCGGATTTTTCTTCGAGAACATAGTGCAATCAAATTTTAACGCGTTCGTCGAGCAGATAATACTTTTGTCATGTTATAACCTCTATCTGAAAAGGAAAAATCAGTATGAGTCAGATAGTAAATTCAGAGGATGTGCACAGCAAATTCAGCTCTCAGTCCTCTTATCTAAATGAATCCCGGCAATTTGCCTCCTGGTAAGATGCCTCTCGCAAACATGTCTATAGATCTATATATCTCTAGCAACATTTTTTTACAGAAGACTAGATATCGTAAGCTTCTGCGATACTATTTATCACTGATGTTTTTTTTTATTTTACTGTGAACTTTTTTGTCTAATATTGGGGCTTTATAATCAGAAAGATAATAAAACGAAAGATTTGTCCTTTTGCTAAATAGACTGGATCGATGCAATCCTTGATATAAGCTTACTGAAATACACAATACACTCTATTTTATAACAGTTCTTCTCATAAGTCGTATGTCTTCATCTAGCAAAGATTTTCTACAGCGTTGTTGTTATATAATTTTCTGATATAACTCTTAGTCTTACATATGCTTTTAGATAACTTATCGAGATAAAGAGCAATATCCTATTTATTCTCTCAGAGACATTTCAACTTGGAAACAAAGCTGTGATCGATCTTACAGTAACATATTACTTTAGTTTTGCTTTAATAGGATTGAATCAACGATTTTTCTTCCACTAGCTGTAAAAGAGCATTTCTGTGATAATCATAAAAATCTCCTATTTTATTTCCCTTTCGGTCGTATCGACGTTTGTATAGTTAAACAAGAAAGTTTTTTATTGTTAAGATAAAATTGTATTTCCACGAATCAAACTAACAGCTGCGAAATGACGGTGATAGAAAAAAGATCCAGCTCAAAGGCTGATTTTTCTAACTTAAACAAGGATAAATCGTTGCCATCCATGTACAGATTTAATGGATTGAAATCAGCGCCACTGGCCCATTAAGAGAAAATCGAACGTGAAAACAAAAATATTTATTATCTTGCTGCAAAAAGTGGACAAATGAGTATTTGTTTATCTGCGAAGTCAATCAGTCCCTTCTTATTCTCTCAAATATCGTGCGATATTCCAATATATTGCGTTATAAGCTTACCAATATGTTTTGAATAAATTCTGTTCCAAAACCTATTGATATGCACGATGTTACTAGCGCGGTGCTTCTGTAGATATAAATTGCATAGATATATAGGAAATTGTATGATCTACGATGGTAGTGTACAATTTTGTGTGTAGAAATTGCAAAACAAATCTAAGCAGAATAAACTCACTTTATTAATTATTTTTCACAAAAGTATCGAAACTCTATCGAGATTAAATAGAGATTCTTTTTGTAGACGGAAGAATAAAGATAGAATGTCACTCATACTGCGAGGAAAAGCTAGTGGAGTTTTGAAGTGTTAAGAAATGGAAAATATTATTTTTTTTTAATTTCACTTTGTTTTATTCTTCCCTATCTGTAAGCTAAGCATACTTGAATCTCTCTCTAGGTATGATGTTACATTTAATCAAAAAATGTTGCTTATACGTCATTTCATTGAGAAAACGTTTAGATTGACTAACATTTACAAAATTTGATATTTGTTAGAGAATTTTAATAATGTCATCTTCGATATTCCCACTTCTACAAATTCAACTGACACGATATGGTATGCCTAGTATTATTATTTTGGGCGTCACTGGCAATATCTTTATTGTCATTCTCTTCAGTCGCCGTCGTTACAATTCGTGCTCGATATTTTTATTATGGGCCGCAGTGCTGAATAGTATCTCTATAACGTTTAATATGATCATGATTCTCTATATTTTAAATTATGGAGACCCAACAATTGGCTCTCCTGGTTTGTGCAAATTCCGTTCCTATATATCACAAATCTTCAGTCAAACAGCTCGATATCTGACGGTTCTTGCATGTTTCGATCGATTTATATTAACATCAAATCGTACTCATATTTTTCGATTCATCAATCGGCCGTTGATAACCCGACGTTTGATTTTGATCGTATTTATTTTCTGGTGTATCTTTCTCACTCATATATTTATTTTGACAACAATTAGTAATGGAAAATGTGGACAATTCGGTCTCAATTATATCTTGTATTTTGTTTATCTTATAATATTTGTTTGTTTATTACCATCGGTATCGATAGCTGGATTTGGTTTTCTGGCTCATCGAAATATGATCCGGCTTCATACTCGTGTGCGACCGGTTGGTAACAGTTCTAATGGTGGTATTATTGTTCACCGTCGAGATCGAGAACTTTTAATTATAATATTTGCTGAAGTTGTTGTTTATATACTGACAATGCTTCCATATCCAATTATTGTGTCAGAAGCAGCAATGACCGATTTTATTGGTGTAAGTAAAAGTATCGAACGTCGTCAGATTGAAAGTTTCTTTTCCGCTGTGGCATTAAATTTGATCTACTTGAACTGTTCTGCGTCTTTCTACACGTACATAGCAGTATCAAAACCTTTTCGTAAAGATTTCAAGAAGCTTTTAACCAAATGTACATGTCGACTAGATGAACCAATGGAAACAACGACGAATCAAAGAACAATACAAACGCAATCCTTAAAAGTGAGTCGTCTCACATAGAGTGAGAAAAATATTTTATTCCCATTGACATATTTATCTCAATCGCTGTTGTTAATTGAAATAGTTACGTATTTATGTATTCAACTTTAGTGTTCATTTATCGTCTCTAACATATTCATGTTGTGTAAATCTTTAGTAAAAAAATAATTGTGTTAACAGTTTCTATTTGATGCTGTATCATTGTTGAGTACATTTTACGTCATCTCGTTTTCTTTTCTCAAATAAAGTTCATACAAAAGGATATTCTTGCAGCGCAGTCTCTACCAGATATAAAAGTGAAATACAATGACATTGCTCTAAGGAAATCGGAAACAAATCCAGGCATTTATTTTGTTCAAGGTGGCATTAGAACAAATGAAAGTATGAATTTTACTGAAAGCCGAATTGAATAGAAGCAGCTTATCATTAAAAAACTAGATTGGATATGAAGTATGAACAAGTGGCTTAGTCAATGTCCAATGTTCACAATGGACACGCAAGGCGAAGACAATATACATATATGACCTGTAGCCATTTCCAATAACTCAGGTGTATAGTATCATGTAGCTACCACGATGCGCTTCGATCCAGCAAAGGATCTCATCAGGTGGTTGTTACTCTGTACTAGCTTCTACAAACAGAATCAAAGGAACAAGTCCTCCGATATCTCACAAGTATCATCATTACACAGAGAAGTCCAACTCATGGGTGTGAGTATTGATTATTCGAGTCCGAAGATAAGAGAAAATCATGTAGCTACCACGACGCGTTTCGATCTTGATTTTAAGTTTTTATTTTGATGAACAGTGATTTAATATCTTAAACGACAAGGAATATTATAATAGAGCTTTTTACGTTATGAAACGGGAGAAAAAGGAGAGTAGAGGAGGATTTAGAGAACAACATCTGGTGACACAAGGTTGTTTCAACGTTGGGCCTGTGTCGATGTTGTATGGGTGTTGATCGTTGCAGTCGGCTCCATCTTTCTCAGCATTTGTCGAGGTGGTTTCTTGCGAACGAATAATGCTTGTAAGCAAGGATTGTTCAATGTGCCAATAATTAGACGAGTCTTTTTGAGGCGTTTTATTGTGGAAACATAGGACTTCTCATAGCGTCGACGATATTCTCGTTTATATTCCTTCGATGGCGTACTAGAATTTTCATATCCATTGTATAAACTTCAACCATGGCAAATAATCTAATATATATTCTCTCATATTATTATTGTTGTTTTTACTAGGTTCAGCTTATATAGATAAAGACCAAACCAAAGTTCACTTCGTCCATATCGTCGAAAAAAGAAACTAGTTGAAAATGAAGAAAATAATATCATGAGAAAAATTACTGATTTTCTTATTAATAAGCGTACAATGTTACGATCATTGCCAATTTTCAAGCAATATTTAAAGCAACTTTATGATTGTCTTATTCTTCGTTACATGCCTTCATTTCCATTAATCGATCAAATTCGTGCTCGACAAGAATTTAACATTGTGAAGTCAATTTGACGAAAATTAAAAAAAACTCATTCTTCGTAAAACGGATAAAAGTGGTGCTCTACGTATTGGTCGAGCAAGTGATTATGAACGAAGAGCGATCGAATATCGAACAAAGACAGGTGCCTATATGGAACTGTCTTACAATCCATTCGACGACATTTTTTAAAAAGTGAGTCGTTTACTCAATAAACTAAGTTCGATGGCACCAAAAACCAAAAAAATAAAAGAATGGCAAAACTTGAAGATGATGCTTATTCCGGACAAAACAGAATTAGCTTATAAATACTTTATTCCTAAAGCACATAAAGTAAGCAAATTCTTAATTAAATAGATAATTTTACATTGTCATCATTTTCACATAGGAAAAAACACCACTTCGACCCATTATAAATACAATAGATGCTGCAACAACTGGAATCTAAAAGTATTTAGATAAAAGTATTCAACCTTTATTCGATAATTATGCTAAAAATACAACTATTATTGACGATGTTGATCTCCTTGGTAAACTACAAAAATATATTACAAAAGGTTATTTTAAATCATCAACTCTTTTTATTACATTCGACATTACTGATCTTTATACAATGTTACCACAACAAGAATCATTAGCTATTCTTGTTGAATTTCTTCATGAACACAGATGTGAACAAGTCAATGGCATTTTCATTGATACCATCCTAGAATTGGCTCGTATTGTTCTTGAACAGAATGCTTTTATCTACGGCAATAAATACTATCGACAAATTATTGGTGAAGCAATGGGATTCGCATTTACATTAACATTGGCTAATATCTTTATGTGGAAATGGAAAAAACAAGCCATTCTATCAAAATTACCTTCCCGTGAATTATATGGCTGGTAAGTTTAATTTTCACAATATTAATCGAAATTTAATTATTTCTTTTTTCTTTTTGTTCAATAACAGATATATTGATGATATCTTCTTTACATGGAATGAAAGTGAAGATAAAGTCAAAGAATTGATTAGTAACAATGATGGTATCCTTTCATCATCAGTCTATCATAAGCCAGCTGCCGAACCATGTATTGTACCATTCATATCTGATCGTCCTCGACACATATTTCGAAATATTGTTCAAACGCACTTATTCGAGCTATTCGATATTCTTCGACGTTCGAATTATTCAACATTGAACGCCGTTCTATTCGGTTAATGTTGTTATAAAATGGGTAAGTTTTTTCTATTGAGAGTAATTAATCATCTATCGAATTTATGTTCACCTATCCGTCAACATATATCAATAAACAATTCAGATTATTCTTCGTTAAATACATGCGTACCTATCATCAATTTTACCATTCATTTACGATGAGAGTAACTATTTTACCATACGCAACAATTTACAAGAGCAGCCTAGTGTTAAACAAATACAAGCAGCCAAGAGAACAAGTAGAGTCGATAGTCAAAAGGAAAAACATTCCAACGACAACATACAAATAACATGTGTATCAACGGCAAACGAAAGAAAAACAAATTTAACAATACTCTCATCATTCATTGCAAATATGAAAAACAACTTGAAACAATGAAACATGATATGCATCAAATTTACAATCTCATGTTCAACGGAACACCAGAAATGGATGTCAAAATGATCGTTGGTCATCGAAATAATTCTGATGCAAAACGTGAACTAATTCGAAAACGTCCACACATATCATTACTTAAAAACAAGAAGAAAATAAGTAAGTATTATAGTCCCAAAAACAAATTATATCATTATTAAACAATATAAACTTTTTCTCATTTCATCATCCAGGTACAAAATCGAACGCCTAACAACCAATTTCTACTTGGAAACCACAGTCGAATCTTGAACACAATTATTACTGAAAAACATTTACTTTACAGTCAAACACAGAACTATGTTCATTCTGCTAATATTTGTGATACAAATCTAAATCAAATTAGTTATTTATGCTACTAAAACTACTGTTTTTCCTTCTACTCATTGTATTTCTTCGCATTCTGTTACACATTTGTAATAACACAGCTATCGTTTTACTTCCATATCAAATAAACCAAAGAAAACTAATCAAACATCAACACTATCATATCATCAAGTAGAAAAATTTTGTATTCTATTGATTTGATTCTTCTTTGAGTCATTCATTCTATACAAAACCATATGATGAGTCCCTTAAACAAGGACGACTGATCATGGTGTACTTGACTCACCCTCGCCTCACCCCTCTATAAAAAGGTATAATCAGTGTAAATTTCTTCACCATTATCAGTTATGTTCTTTCTCTTCAAGACTTTGAAAAAGAATTCGAAAGCGCTAAGTCTTTTTCTTCACTGTGTTATATATTATTACTTATATATTTTCTCTCTGTACATTTTCTTCCTTTTGTACAACACCATCCTTCTATGTAAATAAAAATTAAAAAGTTTTACTTGACATATCAAATATTGTTCTTTTTCCTAATTGAGAGTGTCATGACATGTCAGAGTAGCGACTAGAGATCAAAATACTTCAAAGTACCATGATAATGATCGAGAAATATTAGTATTTCAGCTCTAAAGCAGCTTTCTTCCCTCACCCTCATTCTGATCTCCAATCGCTACTCTGACTCGTCATGAGATTCTCAAGCGATGTACCAGATGCCGAATTAAAGTCCCTATCGAAGGGTGCTATTTTCATTCCAGGTTGTTGTTCAACAAATGTGTTTTAGTCAACTCAATTACAAACATTGTCCGCACACAAGCAAACATCATCATCACGAACAAGCACATAAGCACCACCATACTGCTCATCGCGGTGATCAAGATAACGATCATCATCAGTATAAACAGCACCATTATCACCACAACGAACATAAACACGACCATAAAGACGACGATGACGAGGATAATCACGCGAATAACCATAGTCATCTTTAGGTGCGTTAACATAATAACGACCAAGACATGTTGCACCATCACGACGCTTGAAACACTTGTAAAAGTTATCGGTATAACATTTCGGATCATTTCTGATCCAATTCTTGTAATTCTGGATCCATTTCCAAGTTTCAGAATCGCCTGTATAGTACCAATCACGACATTGGCGGCATTTGGCACAAGGACGACCCATACAATCATACGTTCTTTTAGTGCCAAATTCTTGTTTTTCTAAAAATGGAAGTTGCAAGTATTCAAAGTAATTTTAAAATAAACTTGATAGCTTCCTTTCTGTGAAGCGCGTGTGATAACGATTGAGAAGTATATAGCAAGGAAAGTGAATATTTCTCAGACTGTCATATAGATTTATACATGTCGAACGCGAAATTTGTCTTCAAATATTGAATAGCTTACATCTACAAAATTCAAAAACAAAAAACTTCCGTTTTACTAGTTGGCATATGATCTTATGATGTCCACCATAGACTATGACAGATAAAGGGTGGGCCAGAAGTCCTGACTCGATTTGAATAATAAATTTTTCTATAGTGAAACAAGTGGTTGTAAATTTGTCTCTATGAAGAAAAGATGTAGTAAAAAACGCTCTACAAAATGACGATCGATTGACCCCGTTAGCTCATCTAGTAAGAAACTTATAGGCTTAGAAATGTGCTTCACAAAAAAGAAAAATCAACCGTGAACCCGGTCCCGGTATTTT